AGCTGAATAAATATACTTTGAAAAAATTGCTTATTAGCATATAAACTAAGCAGTTGATGCTTACATGCTTACTTTGACCTAAAGCGTTTAGTAGAAAAAGATAGTTAATAAGGTATAGTAACAACACTGTTCTTTCTTAGTTACTTTCTATCAGGAAACTTAGGCAACAGAGAAGAATAAAAAAAAAGCATAAACAGAGAATTATTGTATTAATTGGTTGTCATCAATAAAGTGATTTATTTCAGTGAAACTACACAAGATGCCAACAATTATGTAATGTCTGAAGATTGCTTGCATATCAACGTTCTTACAAATGAATTTTGTCTTAAGAACAAAAACTGTCCTGTAATTTTCTATATTCATGGCGGTGACTTTCTTTACGATACTCCAGTAATGTTTAACATTAGTTTTCTGGTAGGTTGGCAATATAGTTCTTTTTTTTTTTTCTTTAATTAAATGTTATAGCTGTTTACAAGAAGCAAAAAATAGCTTACAGAAAGTAATCAGCTGCAGAGCATGTAACCTTTGATTTGATGACAACGAAATGCCTCGAAAGTTTAGTTACCAAAAGATTAGTAAAGTTTAAAGCAATAATTAATAACCAAAAAAGTGAAAAGTTTCTAAAAAATCTTTTTTTTTTCAAACAATAACTGTTTAAAGTACACTAAAATTTTAGATTGATAATTATCTTACTGAAGATCGATCAGTGGTAATAATCTTACCTGCTTATCGTGTTGGTTCATTTGGCTTCCTCAATTTAAGTCCATATTTAGAAACAGCTGCTGATAGAAATGTGGGTATGACAGGTAAAATAGATGTTTATTGCTTACAGTTTTCAAAAAAATTTTCCTGCAGTTTTACAAAAAAATTGGAACAAAAAACGAAATATTTGCACATCTATATTAAATTAATGTACAAATGTATTGTTTAAATTGCATTTAATAGATATAACTCTTTAAAAAAAGCTATAATTAAGCATAGCTGTGAAACTAATTTGGAACTAAAAATATTGCAGATCTTATAGAAGCATTAAATTGGGTGAATACAGAAGTACAGAATTTTGGTGGCAATCCGAATAGAATTACACTGATGGGTCACAGTGCCGGTGGTTCAGCAGTCAATTATGTAAGAATAATAAAAAACAACTTTTTTTCAACTTGTCCATATCAAATAACAGCATTTTCCTAAATTTTTAACCATTTTTTAAATGTAAAAAACATTCCTGATAAAATTTATTTAGCTAACAATGTCTCCAATGGCGAGAAATCTGTTCGTTGGAGCAATCATCTTAAGCGGTGGAATATTATATCCACTTCACTACGGTATGTGATAAAGATTTTAAAACTTCTATAAGAAGATAAAAATTACTTTTAAAAAATAATAATTAATTTATAATTTAATTGTATACCACTCCATTTTGGAAAAATTAGTACATTTTAAGCCTAGCTTAAAGTCTGAGAAGGATAAATAAATCTGATATATTTTTACATAAAAGGATCCTTTTCTTTCAACAAAGCTTTCTTTTGTATGATAACATCAGTCATAAAACAGTCACTTCTTTTGACGTGCCTGAGCTCAAGCTATAAATGTAAAAATGTCTGCTGTCAGTATTTCTAGAAAAAAAAGCAGTTTTTTAGGTATATCATACAGAATTGTTAGAAGTAGACAAGCATTACGGATTTTTATCAAATTAATTTAAACGTTAGAACTTACAGTGATACTATCAACAGTAGTCAAAAAATTTAAATAACTTCTTTTTGTAGAGAAAACAATTTATATAGAAAAATCAACATCTAACTTTATGCAAAAGAAAGTCATTTTTTAAAGACAAAAATACTGAAGTTAGTAGACGATTGGCTGTTATCGCCGGTTGCGCTACATGGGAACTGAATTTTACTGACGCCGAAACGCTCTTGTCCATTCTTTCATGCCTTCGCGGAATTCATCCAAAAACGCTTCTTCGTTTACAGAAGCAACTAGAGAACTATAATTTTAAATTTGAAGGACCATGTCTAGAACTTGGAAATAATGCGGTAATTTTTTTCACTAATATTGTATGCAAAAATGAATTCTCAGCACTACCGCTTAGTATATCTCATTAAAATTTGACTTTATTTCAGGTGCTTCCAAAACAATTATCAGAACTGCGTACGAAACGACAGCCAATAAATGTTCTTTTTGGGAGCACAAAATACGAATATATGAGAACGATATACTTGTTGAAAAACGACCATGGTGTACTGAAAGTAAACTTGGATTTGCTGCACAAAAAATGCTTAGAAGTCATGAAAGATTTCGACGTTGCAAACTTTCACGGGGCTGTAGAAGCATGTTCGAGAGAATACTCACAACGTACGTTTATCAATCAGCCTATCAATTTAAACGTTTTGTTGCATCAGAATTCTATAATCTTTTACTTTCAGTTCTAGTAAAACTAAATTTTTCAAAAGCGTATTAGTTTTTACGATTTTTAGCTTCACGAGCACCGTATATTTTTGATGATGCTGAAGTATATGCTCCAACAATACTCAATGGCGAAGATTTTATCAAAGGTTAGCATATTTTGGTTTGGTTCTTTTGCGTACAACATACTTAAGTTTTTCTCGTTATTTTACAAGAAAATCGTTTTTTTTTT